TCTAGTCAAAATATATTTTAAAAAAATAGAATTGGCACTGCCTGGGCAGTTCAGTTGGTTACAGCAACATTCTGATACAGCAAGGTTGCAGGTTTGATCCCATCAGAGTACATACAAAAACCAACTAATGCATGCATAATAAATAGAACAACAAATTGATGTTTTTTCTCTCACTCCCTCCTCCCCCTTAAATAAATAAATAAAAATTTTAAAAAGAAACAGGATTGCTTTAAAAAAATAGAATTCTCCAGGCCTCTGGGGGGCCTTTAGCCCCACAGGGACCCTTGAGAGTGGGTGACTAAGAGGAGATCTCTGCTTCCTTCCCTCCGATGAATTCTTAGTGAGAGAACCCCCTCTGGCTCCTTTATGCCTCCTTCCTGGCCAAGCATGGAGCTGTCTTCCTCTCAGGCTTGGCCAGGGCTCTGGAGACACAACTGGAGGGAATCGTGAGCGCCCAGACTTCTTTTTCCCTCCTGGGCAACCACAGGCTGAATTAAGTGGGTGTGGGGACCAGGCAAGAAGACTGAGAGAAAGAGGAGGATGATGCAGGGGCCCGCCAGCCAGTGGTGAGGACACCATGGTCACAGTGGGTGAGGACACAGTGGGTTTGGACACAGCGGGTGAGGACACGGTGAGATCATTGTGGGTGAGGACACAGTGGGTGAGGCCACAGTGGGTGAGGACACAGTGGGTGAGGACACAGTGGGTGAGGACACGGTGGGTGAGGACACGGTGAGATCATTGTGGGTGAGGACACAGTGGGTGAGGCCACAGTGGGTGAGGACACAGTGGGTTTGGACACAGCGGGTGAGGACACGGTGAGATCATTGTGGGTGAGGACACAGTGGGTGAGGCCACAGTGGGTGAGGCCACAGTGGGTGAGGACACAGTGGGTGAGGACACAGTGGGTGAGGACACGGTGGGTGAGGCCACGGTGGGTGAGGCACCAGTGGTTCTGCTGGTTCTGTGAGCAGCACCTCCTGCCCATGCCTGTCACTGCAGAGTGGAAACACCCTGCTCTTTGAGGCCTGGATCCAAGGAACGTCGTGTCAATGGCAACAGGTTAAACAGAGTTCTGGGAAATTATTATTTTATTTTTATTTCTTTACTAGAAGCCCAGTGCGCACGAAATCGAAATTGTGCGTGAGTAGCTCACTTCTGCTTGCCTCAGGTGACCCCACCGCCCATCGCTGCTCATAGCTCTAGCCCTGCCCTCCACCTCTAGTAGCTCGCTTTTCTGCGCTGCCCGCCGCGAGAGCCACGGCTCAAATGGTCATGATGGCCATGGGCCTTTTATTAATATAAATTTTTTAAATATATAATTTTATTGATTTTTTACAGAGAGGAAGGGAGAGGGATAGAGAGTTGGAAACATCGATGAGAGAGAAACATCGATCAGCTGCCTCCTGCACACCCCCTACTGGGGATGTGCCCCCAACTAAGGTACATGCTCTTGACCGGAATCAA